GCCGAAACCTGGGGTTCCAGGCTCAGCGATGAATCCAGGATCACACCCAAACTGCGAACCTGTGTCTTCAGGGGGAGTGCGACCCCGTCTAACACAGGCTGTAACCCTATACCCTGTTCGGCCTTACGACTGACCAGGAGTACCTCTGTCTTGTCTGGATTCAATTTCAATTTGTTCGCCCCATCCAGACCGTCACAGCGTCACAGTTCAGGACCTCGACAGCCTCCTTAGTACTTAGACTTAGCACAGATACCCAATCAGCATAACCCGCCAAGGCCCAGAACTCCTGAGCTCACGCCATCCACCGCCCTCAGCCTACGTGCAGTCTGCCCAGAGGATTCAACCCGACGGGCCATCATCAGCCGCAGCAGATGAACGGATCCCCCCCCCCCGCCCCGGACCCACCTCACGGAAGGATTTCCCGGGAGGGCCCACCTCCCGCATGGAGACAGCCCCCATCAAGCACATTTCCACTGGGGCAGTGCGCCGCAACCGGCTCCGAGTCGGCCGGAAAGACCCCAGTCAGGGTAGGTGACCCACCAATGGAGCCGAGCACCCTCCCCTTCCCAAATAAGGGATAGTGACTTATAGTTCTGCAAAGGGCAAGGGCACCAGACTGCACAGTAAGGGTTAAGTCTTGGCCACATTGCCAAGACACTAACAACACAAGGACCCCATGAGACTTTTGGGGAACGGCTGGATCTTGGGACTTCTGCCCTTCATGAGAGTTGTAGTTTCCCAAGGACCAGCTTCGATCCCAGCGTGGCAGCTCTGCCTAATGTCAGGACATCTTTCCCACTCATGAACTTCCCTCAAAATGAACTATGGACTCACATTGCTTGAAAACAATTTCTTTATTAAATTTCTCTGGTGGGTGGGATGGAGAAGGGGTGATTGATATGAATTTCCTACAATTTCTATATACTTTCCTTCACAAGTCTGACCCAGCCATGAACTCTTTTGCCCTTTGGGAGGCTGATCAGGAAGTGGCCCGCTGGGCTGAAAAGGCAATCAGGAATCACAAAAACACCTATTTAGTTAGAACTTTAGCAACTCCAGGGAAAAGACCGCCGCCGCACCCTCCCCCCACTGGTCCCCCGACTCCCCACGGGCCCCCATATTGACACCAGACTTAGCTCAGAGACCCGATCAGCATAGCCCACCAAGGCCCAGAACTCCTGAGCTCACACCATCCACCGTTCTCAGCCTCCGCACAGCTGCCGATTGGGTGTCCGCGCTAAGTCCGGCGTCAAAGGGAGACTTAGGCTTTGCCCATTTGGGCATCCTGCTACATTTCCCAATCCCTTGCATTTTCTCATTACTGAACTTTGCAAACCTGTACAACATTTCCGCGCCTGAGATCCAACTGGTTATCTTTTGGTGACCTTTCCCTGAGTTTCCCCCTCTGTTTTCCAGATAATCCCTGCCCTAACCCATCCCTTTCTCTCCTGTCGGTATCTCTGCAGTGAAATTCCACTGGCAGGGCAGCCACGCAAGGCAAGGCGGGAGTGTTGTTTTTGGCTGTTCTTTTTTGCAGGGCTGTGGGCCCACGCCCCTCACTTTTGTGTCTGCGGAGGTGGAGAGGCATTTTCCCATCGGCTATGGAAACTCATCCGCATCACGCTGCCGGGCTGGCTCCAGAGAATCCTAGAGTTGGAAGGGACCCCAAGGCCGACCCAAAACTATTCTACCTTGCAGGAAGACACAATCACATTGGGCTTTTTGGGTGACGCATGATACCGTTGGCTCATGTTCAGATCGAAGTAGAATCCTGCAATCCTAAAGTTGGAAGGGACTCCAAGGATCCTCCAGTCGGGTGCACACGATATTCCTAATCATAGAATCATAGACCTGGAAGAGACCACAATATTATTATTATTATTATTATTATTATTATTATTATTTTCCCCGGGAACTTCTGAATTCACAGTTTTGGAACACAAGACTTCATGATCATGGAAAAAACCAAGTATGGATCGTTGATGTTGCAATCCCAGGCAGCAACTGGAAAATGTGTTGTCGAAGGCTTTCCTGGCCATAATCACTGGGTTGCTGTGAGTTTTCCCGGGCTGTCTGGCCATGTTCCAGAAGCATTCTCTCCTGACATTTTGCCCACATCTATTGCAGGCATCCTCAGAGGTTGAAAGGATCAAAATGTGTTGTCAAAGGCCTCCATGGCCATAATCACTGGGTTGCTGTGAGTTTTCCGGGCTGTCTGGCCATATTTCAGAAGCATTCTCTCCTGACGTTTTGCCCACATCTATTGCAGGGATCCTCAGAAGTTGAAAGGATCAAAATGTGTTGTCGAAGGCTTTCCTGGCCATAATCACTGGGTTGCTGTAAGTTTTCCGGGTTGTCTGGCCATGTTCCAGAAGCATTCTCTCCTGACGTTTTGGCCACATCTATGGCAGGCATCCTCAAGGGATCAGATCCCTCAACCTCTGAGGATACCTACCGTAGATGTGGGTAAAACGTCAGGAGAGAATGCTTCTGGAACATGGCCAGGGATCAGATCCCTCGACCTCTGAGGATACCTACAGTAGATGTGGGTAAAACATCAGGAGAGAATGCTTCTGGAACATGGCCAGACAGCCCGGAAAACTCACATCCCAGTATTGAGATGCCTTGCAGCTTCAAAGCTTGGCTGCTTCCCACCTGGGGGGAATCTTTGTTAGGAGGTGTTAGCTGGCCCTGATTGGTTCCTGTCTGCAATCCCCCTGCTTTTTGAGTGTTGTTCTTTATTGATTGTCCTGATATTAGAGTTTTTTTTAGTACCGGTAGCCAGATTTAGTTCCCTCCTTTCTGTTGAAATTGTCCACAGGCTTGGGGACTAACACCTCCCAACAAAGGATTACCACAGGCAGGACGCAGCCAGCCTTTGAAGCTGCAAGGCCATTCAATGCCAATCAAGATAGCTTGCTTCAATCAGTCAAGACTGATTTCTCCCACCCTGCACATCATTTAGCACCTCCAGGCCATCTTTCAGGAATGCTTTGGAGGTGTCTTCCCACCTGGGGGGATCCTTTGTTGGAAGGTGATTAGCTGGCCATGGTTGTTTCCAGTCTGGATTTCCCCTGTTTTTGCCTTCCTGTCTGGCAGAAAAGGGCTGGACTGGGTGGGGTCTTTTCCCAAGGGGGAATCCTTTGTTGGGAGGTGTTTGCTAGTCCTGATTGTTTCCTGTCTGTATTTCCCCTGTTTTTGCTCTTTATTGACTGTCCTGATTTTGGAGTTTTTTTTTAATACTGGTAGCCAGATTGTGTTCCTTTTCATGGTTTCCTCCAGGCTAAATGACCATCTTTTGAGGATGCTTTGATGGTGTCTTCCTGCCTGGCAGAAGAGGGTTGGACTGGGTGTCCCTTGGGGGGTCTCTTCCTAAGGGGGAATCCTTTGTTGGGAGGTGTTTGCTGACCATGATTGTTTCCTGTCTGCTTTTTTTGAGTGTTCTTACTTTTCATGGTTTCCTCCAGGTTAAATGGCCATCTTTCGGGAATGCTTTGGTGGTGTCTTCCTGCCTGGCAGAAGAGGATTGGACTGGGTGTCCCTTGGGGGTCTCTTCCCAAGGGGGGAATCCTTTGTTGGGAAGTGTTTGCTGACCATGATTGTTTCCTGTCTACTTTATTGACTGTCCTGATTTTGGAGTTTTTTTAATGGTTCTTTTTCATTGTTTCCTTCAGGCTAAATGGCCATCTTTTGGGAATGCTTTGATGGTGCCTTCCTGCCTGGCAGAAGAGGGTTGGACTGGGTGTCCCTTGGGGGTCTCTTCCCAAGGGGGATCCTTTGTTGGGAGGTGTTTGCTGACCATGATTGTTTCCTGTCTACTTTATTGACTGCCCTGATTTTGGAGTTTTTTTAATGGTTCCTTTTCATGGTTTCCTTCAGGCTAAATGGCCATCTTTCGGGAATGCTTTGATGGTGTCTTCCTGCCTGGCAGAAGAGGGTGGGACTGGGTGTCCATTGGGGGTCTCTTCCCAAGGGGGGAATCCTTTGTTGGGAAGTGTTTGCTGACCATGATTGTTTCCTGTCTGCTTTTTTGAGTGTTGTTACTTTTCATGGTTTCCTCCAGGTTAAATGGCCATCTTTGGGGAATGCTTTGATGGTGTCTTCCTGCCTGGCAGAAGAGGGTTGGACTGGGTGTCCCTTGGGGGTCTCTTCCCAAGGGGGAATCCTTTGTTGGGAGGTGTTTGCTGACCATCATTGTTTCTGTCTGCTTTTTTGAGTGTTGTTCTTTATTGACTGTCCTGATTTTGGAGTTTTTTAATGGTTCTTTTTCATGGTTTCCTCCAGGCTAAATGGCCATCTTTTGGGAATGCTTTGATGGTGTCTTCCTGCCTGGCAGAAGAGGGTTGGACTGGGTGTCCCTTGGGGGTCTCTTCCCAAGGGGGGAATCCTTTGTTGGGAAGTGTTTGCTGACCATGATTGTTTCCTGTCTACTTTATTGACTGTCCTGATTTTGGAGTTTTTTAATGGTTCTTTTTCATGGTTTCCTCCAGGCTAAATGGCCATCTTTCGGGAATGCTTTGATGGTGTCTTTCTGCCTGGGTGTACCTTGGGGGTCTCTTCCCAAGGGGGAATCCTTTGTTGGGAGGTGTTTGCTGACCATGATTGTTTCCTGTCTGCTTTTTTGAGTGTTGATCTTTATTGACTGCCATGATTTTGGAGTTTTTTTAATGGTTCTTTTTCATAGTTTCCTCCAGGCTAAATGGCCATCTTTTGGGAATGCTTTGATGGTGTCTTCCTACCTGGCAGAAGAGGGTTGGACTGGATGGCCCTTTGGGGAACTTTTCCAACTCTAGGAGTCTATCACAAGCCCTCTTTTGACCAGCTTCTTGGTGAGTTCCTCTTGCAAAGCAGAGAGAGGAGGAACTGATCCAAGGAAAGGGGAAAGGCTGGCCCTGCTGGGTGGGGACTCCTCTGCTTCCCTCCCCATCTGGACTGGCATTTCCCCCGCTTTGGCTCCTCTCCAAGGGCCAGTCCCCGCCTCCGGCATCTGCCTGCCTCCTCCAACCCGGCCAAGCCCATCCCTGGCGAAGGAAGGCCCTCTGCAGAGGCGGTGGCTTGGTCAGTCCTCCTTCCCTCTCTGCCAGGCGTCGCTCGGGGCTGCTCCTCCACGTCCTCCTCCTCCTCCTCCTCCTCGGTGAGTGCCTCTCCTCCCTCGCCGCCTCCTTCTAACGGGGAACCCTGGGCTGCCCTCCTTTTGGGGAGCTCTCCAAAGCCGTGCGTAAAAGCGCAAAAGAGCCTGTGCGCTTTTACGCACGGAGACCTCGCCCCTCTGGTTCCCCTTCCCTGGACGGACTCCTTCCCCGACTTTGCCCTTGGTGTGCTTCAGCAGGAAATAGAGAAAGGCAAGGTTGGAGTTGAGTCGGGGGGAGAGTCGGGTCTGGGGTCTCCTCAATTTAAGTTGGGAGTCCAAATTGTGGGGAGGTCAAGAGGGATCCTGAGCCTCCAGTTTGGTGCAGCCTTTAGGCTGAGTCAGGAGAAAACTAGCTGGGACCTCATTCCAGATTATAGATAGATAGAGAGATAGGTAGATAGAGAGATAGATAGATAGGTAGATAGAGAGATAGAGAGAGAGATAGATAGATAGATAGATAGATAGATAGATAGATAGATAGATGATAGGTAGGTAGGTAGGTAGGTAAATCGATAGATAGATAGATAGATAGATAGATAGATAGATAATAGGTAGGTAGGTAGGTAGGTAGGTAAATCGATAGATAGATAGATAGGTAGTAGATAGATAGATAGATAGATAGATAGATAGATAGATAGATAGATAGATAGATAGATAGATAGATAGATGCATAGATAGGTAGGTAGGTAGGGTAGGTAGTAGATAGATAGATATAGATAGATAGATAGGTAGGATAAAAGATAGATTATAGATAGATAGATAGATAGATAGATAATAGATAGATAGATAGGGGATAGATAGATAGATAGATAGATAGAATAGATAGATAGATAGATGATGATAGATAGATAGATAGATAGATAGATAGATAGAAAAATAGATAGAGAGTAGATGAGTGGGTGGATAGATGGATGGATAGATAGATAGATTGATAGATAGGTAGGTAGGTAGGTAAATCGATAGATAGATAGATAGATAGATAGATAGATAGATAGATAGATAGAAAAATAGATAGAGAGTAGATGAGTGGGTGGATAGATGGATAGATAGATAGATAGATAGATAGGGAGGGAGAGAGAGATAGATTAGATGGATAGGTGGGTGAGTGGATGTATAGATAGATAGATAGATAGATAGATAGATAGATGATAGATAGATAGGAAAATAGATCAATCAATTGACAGATAGATATAAAAATAGATAGATAGTAAGAGAGAGAGAGAGATGAAGATAGATTAGATGGGTGGGTGGGTGGGCGGATGGATGGATAGATAGATAGATAGATAGATATAAAAATAAATCAATAGATAGGTAGAAAAATAGAGAGAGAGAGATTAGGTGGGTGGATAGATAGATAGATAGATAGATAGGGAGGGAGGGAGAGATAGATTAGATGGATAGATAGGTGAGTAGATGGAGAGATAGATGGAGAGATAGATAGATGGAGATAGATAGAAAGATAGATAGATAGAAAAATAGATCAATAAATTGACAGACAGATATAAAATAGATAGATAGTAAGATAGAGAGAGAGAGAGATGAAGATAGATAGATAGATGATAGATGGACAGACAGATGAATGGATAGATAGATAGATGGACAGATGAATAGATAGATGAATGAATGGATAGATAGATAGAATAGATAGATAGATAGATAGATAGATAGATAGATGATCATATAATGGAATCCTAGAGTTGGAGAAGACCCCGAGGGATAGGAAGAGAGAGGGAGGGAGAGATGGATGGATAGGTGGGTGGGGTGGGTGGGTGGATAGATAGATAGATAGATAGATAGATAGATAGATAGATAGGTGGACAGATGGACAGGCATACAGCCAGAGTCTCCAGTTTGGAGCAGTACTTAGTTTTAGTTATGACAGGTTTGTGTTTTCACTTTTAGTTGGGGCCCCATTCCAAATTTGAGATAGATTAGATAGATAGAGAGAGAGAGAAAATAGAGAGAGGAAGAGAACGATAGATAGATAGATAGATAGATAGATAGATAGATAGATAGATAGATAGATAGATTAGGCCTGGGCAAACTTTCTAACTTGGGGGCCACATGCTAGCATTCCCTACTAGGAGGACTTGCTGACTGGTGATGGATGGATGGATGGAAGGGAGGAAGGAAGGGAGGGAGGGGAAGGGAAGGGAAGGAGGAAGGGAAGAGAGAAGAAACAAAGGAAGGAAGGAAGGAAAGGGAAGGAGGAAAGGAAGAGGGAAGGATGGAAGGAAGGGAAGGAAGGATGAAAGAGGGAGGAAGGAAAGAGAGGAAGGGAGGAGGAAGGAGAAGGAGAAAGAGGGAAGAAAGGATGAAGATGAAAGGGTGGAAAGGAGGGAGGAAGGAAGAAAAGGAAGGAATGATGAAAGGGTGGAGGAAATGGAGGGAGGGATAAAGAGGAGAGCAGAAAGGAGGGAGGAAAGAAAGAAGGAAGGAAGAAAACAGACAGACAGACAGACAGACAGACAGACAGATAGATAGATAGAATGATAGATAGATAGATAGATAGATAGATAGATAGATAGATAGATAGATAGATAGATAGATAGATAGACAGACAGATATCCAAAGTTCAAAGACAAACAGATAGATATCCAAAGTCTCAAGTCTGGAGCCGCCTTATCCTGAGTCAAGCCAAGGCTGGGTTTTGAGTTCTCCTCCCTCTTGAGCAACATCTACACTGTTGAATCAATGTAGTTTGATGCCACTTTGAACCACCACCGCTCAACCAATCCCAAGTGCTGTTGGCTCTATTTCAGAGGAAGGAAATGGCAAAACCACCTCCGAGTCTTGACATTTATAGGCTTGTCTTTAGTCAACAGAGAGCTTGAAGGCAAACCCAAATTGGGTAGGCCTTGGGTGTTTCATCCATTAGGTGGAACGGCTCCATTTGGGGATCCAAAACCCAGAATTGGGTGCCCATTTGGACCCACAACATGACTTGGCATATGGTCCCAATGCTGGGGATTTACAAAAAACAGCTGTCCAATAAACTCCTTTTCTGCTTATGAATAAAAATAGTGAGTTGTGTGCCGTTTGCAACACAGGATAACAGTTAAAGGCGTCTCCATTTTCTCAAATTGGTTTTCAGGCACTTTGGTGTTTCACAAATGGGTTTTCGGGCACTTGTGTGTTTCACAAATGGGTTTTCAGGCACTTGTGTGTTTCCCAAATGGGTTTTCAGGCACTTGTGTGTTTCCCAAATGGGTTTTCAGGCACTTGTGTGTTTCCCAAATGTGTTTTCAGGTACTTGTGTGCTTCCCAAATGGGTTTTCAGGCACTTGTGTGTTTCTCAAATGGGTTTTCAGGCACTTGTGTGTTTCCCAAATGGGTTTTCAGGCACTTGTGTGTTTCACAAATGGGTTTTCAGGCACTTGTGTGTTTCACAAATGGGTTTTCAGGCACTTGTGTGTTTCCCAAATGGGTTTTCAGGCACTTGGGTGTTTCCCAAATGGGTTTTCAGGCACTTGTGTGTTTCCCAAATGGGTTTTCAGGCACTTGTGTGTTTCCCAAATGGGTTTTCAGGCACTTGTGTGTTTCCCAAATGGGTTTTCAGGCACTTGTGTGTTTCCCAAATGGGTTTTCAGGCACTTGTGTGTTTCCCAAATGGGTTTTCAGGCACTTGTGTGTTTCCCAAATGGGTTTTCAGGCACTTGTGTGTTTCCCAAATGGGTTTTCAGGCACTTGTGTGTTTCCCAAATGGGTTTTCAGGCACTTGTGTGTTTCACAAATGGGTTTTCAGGCACTTGTGTGTTTCCCAAATGGGTTTTCAGGCACTTGTGTGTTTCCCAAATGGGTTTTCAGGCACTTGTGTGTTTCCCAAATGGGTTTTCAGGCACTTGTGTGTTTCCCAAATGTGTTTTCAGGCACTTGTGTGTTTCCCAAATGGGTTTTCAGGCACTTGTGTGTTTCCCAAATGGGTTTTCAGGCACTTGTGTGTTTCCCAAATGGGTTTTCAGGCACTTGGGTGTTTCCCAAATGGGTTTTCAGGCACTTGTGTGTTTCACAAATGGGTTTTCAGGCACTTGTGTGTTTCACAAATGGGTTTTCAGGCACTTGTGTGTTTCACAAATGGGTATTCAGGCACTTGTGTGTTTCACAAATGGGTTTTCAGGCACTTGGGTGTTTCCCAAATGGGCTTTCATGCACTTGTGTGTTTCACAAATGGGTTTTCGGGCACTTGGGTGTTTCCCAAATGGGCTTTCATGCACTTGTGTGTTTCACAAATGGGTTTTCGGGCACTTGGGTGTTTCCCAAGTACCTGAAATGGGTTTCCAAGGCACTTTCTTTCTTGGCATTCCTGGTAACCGATGGCATTAAACTGTCACATTGTCGTAGGCAGGAATAAATCCATCTCGCTGGCCAAGAACAGTTGGGGCATTGAGGAGAGGCAAGGGGAGCGGTCCCACCCGATTGACTCAGTAGGGAATGGCACACTGTGGCTTTCGGGAGCACCACTCCCTTTCCCGGAACCGCAGGAATGAAGTCTTTTCTGCAGGACAGCTCCACTTTTCTGTCACCCACCCATGGATTGAAACAACACTCACATTTCCCCCCCTTCCTTCCCAATACTTGGTGCCTCCGTTTATGTTATTTTCCCTATGTGTCTCAATGGAGAATATGATCTCTCATTGAGCAACATTGGCTCTCCGGGGGGGAAAATAACCAAGCAAACAGAAAACAGCTTTTTTCCCCTGCAGCTATACTAAATTGCAGTCCTGCTCTGAGAACAGGCTGAAGGCGGTTCCTCATTCCCAAAAGGCTTATTTGCCAGAAACTGTGAAATATGGTCAAGTTCTCTATGGAACAAAAGGCCTCAGTTTTTGAATTGAGAAGCTGTAGCTGACAGATGGAAGCTCACCCCAGCTCCCAGATTTGAACCGCCAACATTTCCGTCAGCACAAGGGTCTAACTTGCATATCATCCAAATCTTGATTTCTTTCTGTAGGGGAAACTACTACTCCCAGGATCCCATAGATTTAGGCATCAAATGCACCCAC